TTCCTTTGTGGACCTTTAAGAGAAGAGGTTGTTAACCTAGATATTTCTGATCAATGATCATGTTAATTACATATTCTCATTTTCAACTCCAATTATACATTTGTTTTTAAGAGTGTATTTCGTTACATTATCTTCAATCAAATACACATTTATGGGTACTACATATGTATGTTGGTTTAAAAAATGCTTTGCATTGGAACAAAAGATATATCTAGAATGGCCAAGAAATTGGGAGAGAGGCTGAGGTCAAAAAAGCCAGTTAGGGAAATGTTGAAGTAGTCCAAGGGTACAGATAAGGACCAAAACTGGGGGTGAGGAAGAGTGATGTAGAGTGTGGTAGGCTGAATAATAGTTCCCAAAGGTGTCTGGATCCTAATCTCTGGAACCTGTGAACATGTTCTCTTACATTGTCAGAGGGACTTTGCAGATGTGATTAAGGGTTTTGAGATGAAGAGATTATCCTGGATTATTCAGGTGTGCCCACTATAATCACAAGGATTTTGTAGGAGGGAGGTGGGAGGGTCAAAGTTAGGAGAAGGTGATGCTAGTTTGGAAGTAGAGATTGGAGTGATGCCGCCCTGAGCTAAGGAATGTGGGCAGCTTCTAGAAGCTAGAAGAGGTAAGGAACACATTTTCATCTGAGGCTTCCAGAAGTAATCAGCCTTGCCAATACCTTGATTTTTATCTCCATAAGACATACTTAGAACTTCTGGCCTACAAAAGTATAAAAGAATAGATTTTTTTTTTTGTTTTAAGCCACTAAATTTATGTTAATTTGTTAGAGCAACAATAGGAAACTAATACATAGAGGAAGAGATATGAAAGATATTATACAGGAAAAATTACAGTACTTAATAACTGACCAAATGAGGGAAGAAAAATTAAGGATCAAAGTAATTCTAAGATTCTGAATCTAGATTATGAAGGCAATGGAAGGGGAATTAATTTCTGGGGGAAAGATGAGTTCAATTTTATATATTTTGCTTGGGTTCTAGGGAAGGCATCCCAAATCAAGTTTACCTTATATGAGGCTTTGATTTAGTGATTTCATGAAGAGGTACTTAGGAGGTAAAATGTAACTCTTCCATTGCACAGTGATGCTTATATCATTTAGATCAGTTATATCAGTTAGAGATGAAGTAATCTCACCTAAAATTCCCCTTTAGAGAGAATAGCTAAATAGCTTTATTGCATTTTAGGACAAATGAGCATATTTGATTCTTAGATTTGGGAAGCAGATTAAGGCCAAGGTTCACAACAAAGAGGAAGAAGAGTACATAGCTCCATCCCTAGATGCAAAGAGTCCATAAATACTCTTAGAATGATCTTCATAATTATGTGAGTATATGTGCACCATTTCAGATTCTTGAAAGGATAGAAAATAAAAAATGAAAGTTAAGAATCATGTGCTAATTGCATCGGGTACCAGAAGGTGAAGGAGGAGGGGCAAAGGTGAAGGGGAAGAGAAAGGACAACACATGGAAACTCCACATTCTTTTACTGTAGCTTGGTACTGCTAATTCCTGCTCCCCTTTTCCTGTACTAGACCCATTTCAGGGCTTTTTATGTTTCTAGAACCAATTTGCAAAGAGGCTGAACAGTTCATTCTGTTGAGTTATTTTATTTGCTGACAAGGTGTTCTTTAAAAAATTCCGTTTTGGTGTTTTACCGAATATTTCGTCTATATTTCTCAAAGGACTTTTCTAAATATTATAAATCTATTATCTCCACAAAACAGATATTAAAATAACTTAATAAATCATTATCATTGGCAATCTCTTCAAAGAATAGATGAGGCATAGAAAGCTTAGGGAGTTTCTTGTTTTTTGTTTTGTTTTAAGATTTTATTTTTAAATAATCCCTACACCCAACATAGGGCTTGAACTCACAACCCAGAGATCAAGAGTCACATGCTCCACCAACTGAGCCAGACAGGCACCCATTAGAAAGCTTAAATAACAGCAACTATTTGTTTTTCAATGATATAAATCATTGAGTTGCTTAGCTGATCTCCTAAGTAAAATGTTTCTGTGGTTAAATTTAATGTCAGTCTGGTATGCTATAAGGTCCTTCTCTGTATAGCTTAAATTCAGCATAACAAAGCCCACTGAATGTTTCAGAGGCTGACCTAGAGTCAGAATCTCTTCCCTAAACAATTTATCTAGGTAACTGGTTTTCCACTTCTGTATGGACCAAAATGAAACAATTTATTTAGGCAACTGGTTTTCCACTTCTGTATGGACCAAAATGAACAGTTTCCATTTTGTTTTACAATGCTATGTTGACTTTTGTAAAAATAAAAATGATTAATGTCAAGATTACTATAAAGGAATGGACCAAGTTTGTACTTGATGGAGTTTCCTATGGGTATGATTGATTTTCTTGGGTCATCTACATAGACATGAGATTTCACTTTAACATTCAAAATCTTACTTTGTGGGATAAATAAAGTAAATTTAAATATTTTCCAGCTCTTACTGTTAAAGTCATTCATAAAGGGTACTTGTAAGGTCAAGGAAAATAGAATCATTTGTCTTTGAAATGACTAGAATTTCAAGGTCAAGTTTTGTATAAATGCCATCTTATATAATTTATATGCTTCCCGAGGGAAACTAATATGGAAATATGGTTTTACTGATACTATAACAAAATATCAGGTGGTGACAGGTACTTTGTAAAACAGATTTGGCTTGTCTACATTTGTTTACAAGGGGATGTCAATGCTTATTGGAAAGATCTAGCCCAGGGAGTATAACTCCCTATATATCTTGACTAAGAATAGACTTTGTCAGTTTGGAAATGTCATTCTTTTGATTGAATTGGCACTTTGGGAAGAACATACATGGAGCTCTCAGAGTAAGGGAACTGTGGGCTAAGATGCTAGATCAGTGAGTCAGTCCTGGCAATCAACCTGGTCACAGATGCCACAGCTAGACTGCATTAAAAGCCTATTATAGATGCCTTTCATAGCAGTGTACTTACCTCTGTACCACAAACTGGTGGCTTAAAGCGACAGAAATGTATTATCTCACAGTTCTGGGGTCTGAAGTCCCAAATCAAGGTGCTAGCAGTTTGATTTCTTCTTCTCTGAGGGAGAATCTACTCTCTTTGCCTCTCTCCTCATTTCTGGTGGTTACTTGGAATTCCTTGGCTGGTAGAGACACATCATTCCAATCCCTGTTTTCATACAGCATTTTCTGTCTGTGTCTCTGTGTGTTCACACGGCCTTCTAATAAGGGCATCAGTTATTGGATTTAGGACCCTCCTAATCTTCATGTTATGACCTATGACCTCATTTTAATGAAAATAATTACATCTGTAAAAACACTATTCCAAATAATTCACATTCTGAAATTCCAGGTAGACATGGATTTGGGGGGAAACTATATACTTCACTATACCTTCCAAACCATTTACAAGTCATCAGAACATAATACTAATAAGGCTCAGGGTACCTATTTCATTCGAGGGACTGGGTAGGTTGTTTTAACTGGTTCTCGGCTGATAGCTACATATCCACCTTGAAATCTTATCCAGTTGATCAAAAAGGGAACCAGGCAAGAACTTGGATGGAATAGCACTAATCCACTCCTAAAGGCTACAAAAGAACTCAAAATACATGCCTCTCTGATAGTTGGTCAGTAAAGTCATTTTCTTCTATAAAGCCTGGAACACACTGGTATACATAATAAGGTGATTGATGACCAAGGTGATTGGACCACAATGGATATTACAAGTCATGACACTACATTTTCTTTTTGAGAAATGGGCAATAAAACACCTTCTCTGGCTATCATTCTATTGATGGACGACACAAATTCTGACACTTTGTCTGCTTTTTATTTTGCTCTGGAACTTGGTGAACCATCAACTGATTGTTATTTTATGTGCATGTGCGTGAATAAGAATACGATTAACAACAGTTTGAGTTTGTAAAGGACTTCCTTCCTGGAACCTTTTATTTTTGGCAGGTATGTGGGAAAATTGGGGAGTCACGTGATATCAATTTCAGCAAAGGACCAACAATCCTAATTATCCATTTTTACACATTTAGTTATTCTTGATATGAATAGTTAGAAATACCTAAGCTAATTTTCAGATGTGTGCCACATGGCTTTTTAACTTTACTCAAATTTTTAAAAATTTTATTTTTAATTGTTTCTATCCCACATATTCTAGTTGAGACATAAGGTGACTTGTAAAATTAATACAGTAAAAAAGAAAAAATGAAAACCAAACCAAAGCAGCCCCATTACTGGTAAGGGGGTTGGACAAAGGCTACTTAGACATTGCGTGTATATTTAGTGGTGCCGTCTTTTGTTGGGGATTATTGGTAATATAAAACAAAGCCTTGAGAGTTTGCATTCTGCCTGACCTGGAAATTCTTTTTTTTTTGAAACTTATTTTTAAATTAAAAAAAATTTCCTTAATGTTTATTTATTTTTGAGAGATAGGGAGAGACAGTGCAAGTGGGGGATGGGTAGACAGAGACACACACACAGAATTCAAAGCAGGCTGCAGACTCTGAGCTGTCAGGACAGAGCCCGATGCGGGGCTCAAACTCACAAACAATGCGATTATGACCTTAGCCAAAGTCGGTTGCTTAACTAACTGAACCACGCAGGCACCTGGCAATTGTAGGAATTTATCTTAAGGAAATAATCAAGGGTGATGGCAAATATTTACTTATATTTGTGGTGTGTAGCTATGTTGCACTATTTTTTATAATGCAAGGAATGGAAAATAAACACACAATGAGAAACTGGTTAAAGTTTATTCATTTTGTAGATAAATGTAATTTACATAAAATTTAAAATGATGTTATAGAATAGTATTTAATTCTATTGAAGATGTTAATTATATTGTTAAATTCATAAAGCACAGTGTAAAATATTATGTATAAAATGAACCATTTTAGAAATGCATATTTATGCAACGGAAAAGGGCAAAATAGTAAGAACTAAAAATGGTGGTGAATGGACTGATCTTTTTTTTTTTTTTTAAATATGAAACGCTTCACGAATATGCATGTCATCGTTGCGCAGGGGCCATGCTAATCTCTGTATCGTTCCAATTTTAGTATCTGTGCTGCTGAAGCGAGCACTGGACTGATCGTTTTTATTTTCCTCTTTTTTCTTATATGTATTTTATACATCTTACATAATGAATATTTATTACATATATAAAGAGAAAAACAAATTTGTTTTTTTCTCTAAGTATGTGAGAAACAAATGAGTACACCAGGAAAATGACAGAGGAAAGTTAAAGTGAACCTTGAGATGAGGTTACTTCTCAAAATGCACACAATAAGATTCTCTACTGATGGGACATACATTTTGTTCCAGGCTTTCAAAAGCCAATGGAAAGAGGGGAACAGAATTAGCTATAATATCTATAAGACAAGATACTATAATGCCTTAAGTATCTATAAGGTAGGAATAATTTGTTGGTTAACAATTTAAAAGTAAATACAATGGCTGATTTCACTGGGCTTTCACCTACATGTAGGATGAAAACAAAATACTGAAGACCAATGGAAAGTTAAATACCAGTTATCAGTTCTTCTTTATGTAAAGGGTAGCCATAAAGTTTAGAAATATAAACAATACTATTTAATTTTTTTACATATTCATATTAACGTATATTATGTTATATATCAACTATACAGATAGAATCCCTCTGATTTCCTTGCTTCTTCTGTAGTATGTTAAAGGTGTAGGTTTATTTAGTAAAAATGAGAGAAGTCAGCCAAGACAACACATTGAAGATGCTTCTACTAGGATTGAGGAAGAAGTGTTAGTGCACCACGCTCATTGCAACAGGAACTATGCATTGCTACAGGAGAAAATACACTTAACATATCAGGTGATGTCATGTGTCATCAAACATGTCATGTTTTGTCATGGCAAAACAAGAAACCATTTATTATGCATATTCACTGTGTTTCCAGAATTTATGGCCAAGTGATAAAGCTGTGTAATATTATTATACATATGCGCCTTTGAAATTCCATAGGATCACTTTAACTTTTCTAAGATATAATAAACTTCCATAAATTTAATTTCACCCAGATTTAATCTTTAACTTCAAAGAAAAGGGGTTTTTCATTGATGATTTTATTTTGATTTGACACAAGTAAACTTCTGGAGAGTTTGTTTTTTTGCATCTAGAAGGGCAAAGCAGTTGCCTCATTTTGGGCAGTTAAAGCATGTATACATTATGCAGCCACACAGGAATAGACATTTGCTGTATTGCCCAAAGGACTTGGTTAGTCAGTGTAGTCATAGTGGTAGATTGGATGTCACTGCCAAGGGTACATTTGGGACCTGTTGAAAAGAGAAACCTTCATGAAAGATGTCACTTCCTGAAGACTTTATTGCACGCATCTTCGGGGACAAACCAAAGTGCACCTTAAAGGCTTTCTTAGGTAATGCTCAACCAAACCCACCTTTTCAAAATTAATTAATACTAACCTATATGATACTACTGAGTTTCTTAAGTTTAAGGTAAGGTGGTTCTGCTTTATTCAAATGGCTTTTTTTTTTTTTTTTAATGCTCATTTTTGAGAGAGAGAGAGACAGAGTGCAAGCAGGGGAGGGGCCAAGTGAGAGGGAGACATAGAATCCGAAGCAGGCTCCAGGCTCTGAGCTGTCAGCACAGAGCCAGACATGGGGCTTGAACTCACAAACTGTGCGATCATGACTTGAGCCAAAGTCAGATGCCTAACTGACTGAGCCACCCAGGTGCCCCCCAAATGGCTTGATTTTTAAAAATGCAAAATTAAATTATGAATAGTTTCAAGAAACACAGGGGAATAGTCATAGCATCTGTAAGCTCTTTGTAGTCAGGAATAATGCTTCTTGCCCAGCAATCCATAGAGAAGACACTGAGTAAATATTTAATGATTATTTGATTGATGGCAGTATTGATTTACTATGATATTTTCCTTCCAAGTTATTTTTCACATTAATAAATCAAAGATATATGTTATAGGACTGTATTCAAGAGCTTAGATAATTCAGCCTGGGTATATATAGGCTTCTTGGGAAAGCTGTAAGAAAGAACCAAAAGCAGTGAAAATATGTAAAAAATGTTTTATAACCATTTTTTTTCCTTTCAATATTGACTAGATTGGACAAAATGAGTTTTTTTGGGGGTGGGGTGGGGGATCAAGAAACGCCTTTCTCATTGTGTAGCTTTATAGGGTATGCACATATTATCTGTTAAATAATCAGTGCTTTCCTTTCCCAGAGGTGAAGACACTTAAATCTTTAAAAGTATACCTGAAAGTCAGAATGTTGTGGCCAATATGCTTTTTCCCACGTTTCATCTGAGATACCAGAAGTCTGTCTCTCTTTAAGTTTACCAAGTACATGCTTGTTGGCAGGGCAAGTAGGTCAAATACAGAAACAATGATTATTAAACAGTATTCCTACTGTACTGAGGATTTCTTTCAACTCGAAATAGGCATATCCACTTCAAGAAGCGAGCTGTAAAGAATGGGGCAAATGAGCATCTGTTCTGGTGGAAGTGCGGCAGCTCTGGGTATCATCCCCTGGTCACGGGGGATTCCTCATCTACCTGGTGCTAGAGCACCACAGGGTCCCTTCTGCCTGTCAAAGGTTACAGTTAGAACTTATCACACCTTTTATTTATTTTTTGTTTTCCAATATTTTTCAACGTAAACAGAGAAGTTGGAAGTAATGTACAATGAGCACCATCTACCTACAACGTAGTCTACAATTAACATCTTGGCATACTGGATTTATCACATATATATGCAGCTATCCAACCCTCTATCCATCTTTCAATCCATCTTTTAAAATGTACATTTCAAAATAAGTTGCAGATGTCAGTATACTTCCTCCTAAATACTTGAGCATGCATAGCATTAACTGGAGATCAGTTGTGTTTATTGTGTTTTTTTTTAAGAGAGAGAGAGCATGAGCCAGAGAGAGAGGTAGAGATAATTTTTTTAAGTTTATCTTTTTGAGAGAGAGAGAAAAGAGCGAAAGTGCCAGTGAGCCAGGGAGGGTCAGAGACAGAGGGAGAGAAAGAGAGAATATGAGACTCAGAACTGTCAGTGTAGAGCCTGATGCAGAACTCCGGAACTCTAACTCATCATGTGATCATGACCTGAACCGAAATCAAGAGTCAAAATGTTTAACCAGCTGAGCCACCCAGACGCCCCTACAGATCCTTTTTAGGTTAAATCTTTTATTTTTTTACATGAATGCTTTTCTTTCATAAGATTTTTCATGGTTAGCATCTATGTACTTCTTGGTATGTTTATTTTGTTAATGTTTGCCTCCCTCTTGAAGGCAACAGGGACTGTGCCATTCTGCTCACCAACATTCTACAGGGGCTAGTATTGCAGTAGATGCTCAATATACAGTATATTTGTTAGGGAACATATGGGAAGTCAGAAAGAAATGGATGGAAGATGGAGCTATAGAAATGCAAAGAAAAGGTAAACTATGGGCTCACAAACTAGTTTAAAAATTTGCTATTATGACTATTGGTGGTGGGGCCATTTAAAGGCATTTTGGTAGATGGATAAGGACATGCTTGCTGAGGAAAGTTCCATTTTACGTTGGTTCAGTTAAGAAAATAAACGAAGGGGTGCCTGTGTGGCTCAGTCCGTTAAGCATCTGACTTCAGCTCAGGTCATGATCTCACTGCTTGTGAGTTTGAGCCCCACTTTCTGGCTCTGTGCTGAGAGCTTGGAGCCTGCAGCCTGCTTCAGACTCTCTCTCTCTGCCCTTCCCCTGCTCAAGCTCTGTCTCTCCCTCTCTCTCAAATTTAAAATAAAACATAAAAAATAAAAATTAAGAAAAATGAAGTATTCTGAGTATTTTCATTGATTGTTCTATGTATAAGTAAGTTTGTAGGGTTCTGAATGTGGTAAGGAAGCTTACAGTACCTCAGTTTGTAATTTAGACATCACTCATAACCCACCTCCAGGCTTGCGGTTTTGAGAACCAACTTTCTTCTCAAGATGAAATTTCATGTGATAAACATTTGAGCCATGGGGCAGATATATTGACCTAAATCCTGATTGATTATAAACCTCCTATTTGGCACATGGTTATAGAATCTTGTTCTCTCTTTCTTAACCTTGGGGAACCCCCTTTTCTCCCATGACTCCTCTCTGGCTATTCCCCTAGCTCCTTTTTGTGATACCATCACTAAATTAGGATTATGTCTTTGTGAGATACCTAGACTTCTATGAAACCGCCACACGTCTGGGGCATAAGGGAATCCTGTTAATACTGTCCCCAGTGTTTCTGAAGATGTCCAGTGTGATTAAATTTCAAAGGCTGGAACTATTTTCTTAGATGACCGTAGCTATCTGATAACTTGAGATTGTGCTTCATCTTTCTTGTCTCAAGAGCATTTGACAACTTCCTTTATTTCACTGACAGTTTATAGGCCTGCCAACAATGACCCCATGCTCAGGATACACTCCTCAAAACTTTGTTTTTATTTTTTTGGCTTGGTTGATCTATTAGATTCCCAGGACTGGTAATTGCAGACTTGACCTGATTTGAACGACCTTGGGAAGAATCTGGTCCTCAAAGGATCTTTCCAGTTCAAATGACAGGTTACAGAAATTCATCCACTAGGAAGACCATTCTGTTGGATTAGAGTGGTACTTTCCCAGTGTTCAAATTTTGTGCTTCAAATTTAAGGGGCAAGTGAGGGACAACAGATACATGAAGTCATCTGTGAGAATATTTTTTTCAAAAGGACAAGGACCGGGACTACTCTGAAAGCACCGTGACCTTGGGGAGGAGAAGAAAGCTGGGAGATTCAGTGTTAGGAAAGGTAGGTGAGGACAAACTTCATTATCCATTACTAGGTTTGAAGTCACATAACGTCTTCCAGATGGTAAGATTTAAGATCTGCTAAGCGACTTCTTTTCAGGCTCCCCCACCCACCACCCTCCAATCCCCCAGGCCCTCCTAGCTTCTGCAGCACCGCTCTCCGCCCCCCAAATTTGCAAGAGGGCCGAGGCAGCGCGGGCCTCCGCATCCGACTTCCTTCCCGCCTCTCCCAGCACGCAGCCCGGGTTTCGGCTCCGCGCTTCCTCCAGTCTTCCAA